AAGTTGTGTTTAATTGGATCTAAATAGAAAAAAAAATCTGAGATTATCTAATTAAATGAAGTTCCATGTGGTTTTTCAAAATTCCACTGGAACGTCTAGAGCAAGTTTGGCGAGAACTCCGCCAGCTTTCATGGTCAACGGAAGTCAATATTCATGGTCGTAAATGTTGGGAAAATATGCAACTATCTTTGCTGTTTTTCACTTATCCGCCAATAGATACTGCTAGGCGCTCTTTCACGTAAGTATACTTTTTATTTATTTATTTTTCTCTCTGTTTTTACTCTCTCAGATTAGTCTCTTTTTAACCATTAAAACTATTTTCAACTTAGGCTGCATTTTGTTACTGATTAGTCCAAAGGAACGTTAGCCCAAAAGTTCTATTATTCTCGAAACGGCATTTTGCGTTGGTTCACTATAAAAGGCTTATCACTTTTTAAATTGTTGTCACCAAATATTATCGCCTTGTATTATATTTAACCCACAAGAAAGCGCGTGGGGTGTATCATACCCCAACCCTACATAAAAGTGGAATATTCCTAACTTCTGAAACTGAAATTATGTGCTGCTTTCAGTAGCTGAGTTTGTAGTTGTGGTTGACTTTCAGAACCGCTTTTTCTTTGCCTGTGTGTTTCAGAAAAAGATTTATCGGTATTTTGTTGGAACTGGGGTATGACACACCCCACGCGCCTGTCCGCGTAAGTGTTTTTCTGACTGAATATTAGTTCAGAAATTTATTTCTAGAGTGTAACAGTAAATATTTCTACTCGCAAGTGATTTTAAAGTACTTGACATTAAATTCTTAAAAATTTTTAGCTGCATTATGGTAAAAAGAATGACTCCCTATGAACTGGAGATGCAACACCTGTGAGATTTATTAGAAATATTTGAAAGCGATGAAGACTGCATTTCGGAAACTGAAGATGAAATTAGGAATATTTTCTACACTGTTTTGGTTTCGAAAAAGATAAAACATTAATTCTTGATGTTCCTAAAAAAGGAAAAACTGTTCTTATGCTTTCAACATTATATAACGATCATACTATATAGATGATACTATTGGAGAAAATAAAACGTCAGAATTATATGTTTTTATAATATGACTAAAGGAGCAGTGGATATGGGGGATGAAATGACAGCCAATTATTCAATTGCCAGAATAACAAGGAGGTGGCCAATGGTAATTTTCTTTCCTGTACTGAATGTTGCTGTAATAAATGCTTGAATTATATTACATTCAACTGCTAATCCACCAACCAGAAACAGAAGTCTGTTTTTGAAGGACTTAGCATTACAATTAATAAAAAAAACGTATTGAACAAAGATCAGAGATTAATACTTTACCAAGAAACTGACGTACTGCATGCAAAACAAAAGCAGAAGTTTCGACGAAGAATTAAAACGAATACATGAAATTCGAAACAACTAAGTATGAAAGATGCGATAATTTTTTTAGCCTCGCGCCAAGGACAGAAAGAAGAACGTGAATGCAATGTTTAAATGTGAAAACATTCTGTGTCACACTTTGAACGAAACACATGAATGTATTTCGTTCAAAGTGGGAAGAAATAAAATGAGCATTGTGTATTGCATACAATGAAACTTAGAGGCATGATGTTTATTTTTTCATTATTTTCATTTATCTTAACTCTAAGATTATTTTGTAAATTAATTTTTTGAAACCCAATTATTATTCACGTTTTTATAATACACGAGAACATGAAAAACAGCTTTAAAACTAAATAAAACTATTTTTATCGTATTTTAAATATTGGGGTATGTGATACCCCACGCGCCCACTCTAGTAACTATTCTTGGTTCGACTTCCGCCGGATTAAAGAAATTAAATGATGAAGAATCTGCATGAATGTATCTATATTTCTCACATAGTGAAAAAACGACGGTACCTAGAACGATCAAATTCTAAATGACGTAATCCTCCACCTGAACGTGGGCAGTAAAAAACCGAATTTTAAATTTCGATTTTGTTTTATTATCTATTTCCCATTTTTGTAAAACTTTAACGAATTTTTAATTAACAAACTCAACGATTTCAAAGCGAGCAATGGTAACACTGTACGGAAAACATTTTTATCTGCAGCTCGGGAGACTGTCTATCAGAAATTCTAAAAATATGCTATTTTTAAATATTTTGTGATATTGCTGTTTAATTGAATTTTATGTAGTTTAAATACGAACAGCATGATATTTAATAAATAAAGGTATCACACAAAACATTTAAAAAAAACCTTTTGAACGTAATATAAAATTTGAAAGACTTCGGATTTTTTTTTTTTTTTTATTATTATTATTTCTAGATTTATTCAGAATCTAAAAGTCTGAGGCTTTTGCCTTATTTTAGATGCATAGATTCTCGCCGGGCCTTCAAATATTTTATCAAAGAAATATATAAAAGGAATAAAGATAAAATTTTCCAGTTAGCAGCAAAAGATTTTCCTGCAAGCTGATATACTTTACTAGACGTATTTGCTAAATTTACTTTTTGCCATGAATTACGTTAGTGCTACATGAGTCTTCTATGCGTTTACATTTTCAGCAGTTAAAGCAAATAGTTAAAAACTTTCAGCCTGATTAATTTATTTTAATGAACCGATTACATTTATTCTTTTATTAAACGTATTGTGCTATGTGGCTAAATCTAATATGGCAACATCGAGGAAATTACTAATTATGTTAATTAAAGTACTTCATTAAACATAAAATTAAAAGAAAAATTTGTCGTAATACGTAATTTTTCCATTCATTTCCAATCCATTAGCAATCTTTGTACATATAGTTTCGGATTATATTCATTATCTTTATATTGCATTATAAAATACACACGCAGAAAAGTAGTTGCAAAATGTCTAGACGTCTTGTCTGAAAACAGTGCTTTTAAATCCACTAGTACCAGAATAAATAAATAAAGTTAGTTTTAAGCTGTCAATTGAGCCACACACAATACACATTTTAAACCAGACAGTCCATGCTACAATTATATATAAAAGTGAAGTCTGAGGTTATGCATCAACAAGAATATTTGCGGCTTGTACAATCTTAGGAAAGATCTTCTGAAATACCATTCATAAACATTAGGCCATTCTTACACATGAATCGGCTCTATTATAAGAATTCCATGGATCAAAACACTCTTGTTTTACATTAATGCTTTATTATTTAATATCTGGAAATTTCATATTTTTAAGGGTGGCTTTTCAAGAGATAGGGAATTTCCACCTAACGGCAGAATTTCGTGTTTTCGAAGGGAAGGATAAATTGTTCAGTCTCCAAATAATAAATTCGGGTTGCAACAAAAGACTCAGGATAAAAAAATATAAAAGGTGTGAAATCACGAGATTAAAATATCTCAAGAAAATAAATTTAGGCATCATGCAATCTTAGCGAATCAGCAGAAATGTTTGTTATTTATGTTTATTAAATATAATAATAATTGTATATTACTAAAGATAAAAATAATGCTTATGTATTAAATGCAGTAAATCTTGAATTAACAGTTATCTTTATAACATATAAAAATATTTTAAAAATTTACGTTTATACAAATATCACCATTTCAATTATAATAGTAATAATAATAAACCATCTAGAAGGATTGCATTGTGTCACAATTGGAGAAAAGATTAAACATGAAAATAAAGTTGACAACCATTTGTGTAATCTGTACCTAGAATGCAAACTGTTCTTTCCGATCAAACCATAATCCGATCAATACTTAATTATGCAATACTTCCTCCCTCCCACCAAACAAGATACAGAAGTTATTTAAGCAGAAATATTTTCTTTTAGTGATAGGGAATTTCTATGTCAAGGGAAGTGATTGGGTACTTCTGAGTTGCCTTGATTCACTTGCAGTAATCATACTACACTGCAATAATCATCCTGCAATCATCCGTCGTGTTCCTGAGTATTTCACGTATCAATTCTTTTATTGTAGATGAAATATCAAAATTTTGGTAAAAGCTTTCATACAAATAAGTTTTCAATATTTTAAAATTTAACGAATTCTTTGGTAAATACGTTGAAAACGGAAATATTATTTTTCTCATTTATTAGTTATTGTTCCACAAGATTCTGTATGCAAACACGCCAGATATTTCTTCTCAAACATTTCGCAATAGTCTCTTACTTGTAAGTTTTATGAGTTATAATTTCAGTTAAACTTAGAATTAAATCGGTTACCGTTAATTAAACCTGGGCATTAATCTATGATATATTTTCTCATTTAATTTTTTAGACCAGCGGTTTTCAGACTTTTTCTATTTTCTGTTTTTAACTATTTAATGAATTATTTTATTTTAGAAACACACAATATTTATTATGTTCGATGAATATGTATTATTTATATGCTTATTAATGTATTGCTTAATATGTTCATTATGAAGTTTATGAAGATTTTATGATGTGGAAGACCTACTTTCCCTTATATTTTTGGAGGTGCTCTATCCTAAGCTTTAAGTTATGTTTACCATTTTTTTTAACTAATTAGTGGTTTGGAGGCTCCTTGTAATATGGAACCCCTGGCTGTCGCGATCTGCGTGATCATCTTAAGTCTGCCTGTAATTATATTTTAAAATATATTTAAAAGGATATTTCTATTGATTTTACAACGCTCTACACCTAATTTAAAATCTTTTAGCTGTGTGGGATCAAGTGATTCTAAATATGCCTCAGATACTTGGCCTTAGCTTCTTGTTATAGTTTGATCTTAAGAGTCTGAGCTTTAATAATTTCCGCATGAGAGAAAATTTTTACACTGTTTTCAAACCTTTGAATTCCATTTATTAATAATTACTTCCATTTACTAAGTATTTAGCGGAGCTGTAAACTGCTGTTGTAAGCGCTTCGATTTAGTAATTTCACTGATGTATGCTTCACATAGCACATGAACTGTAGTAAGTTTTAAAAAAGTCTTATAGAAAAGACTTGAAAATCACTTCGGTTTTTAGACATTTTTGGAAGAAAATAATGAAGGAATAAATTACCTAAGAGATCTCGTTTCGGACCTATGTCTTTGGCATTCCAATTCCATGACACTTTCGAAGGCCAAAGAGTAAAACCTTCATGATGTTTGCTAGTCAAAACTACGTACCTGTTAAAAATGAAAAGCATACACAATATTAATCAGATAATCATTTTATTTTAATAAGAAACATCAGAGCAAATCATAATTACAGTAATTATAGATCAGTTTAACTTTACCCTAAAAACATCCTTGCACCTCTTTCTTATAATTATATTTTATCCTAATCTAAACAAGAGATTTTGTTAATAATCATTTTAAAATTTATTTGCTTTAACAATCATAATAAAAATATAATGATTTAAAGAAATTACAAAATATTCTATCATAAAACATAATTTGTTTTTAAAATTATTTCCCTCCATGATCCTTTTGGAATTAGTTATAGAAGTAAAAAAAAACTAAAGTAATAACCTAAAATTTATATTTTAAAATTAAAGAAGTAGAAAAACTAAAACATTATTTGCTACAATTTATAATTCATTTAGCAGAAATAAAGAGAAATTTTGAAAGTTGAATTAGAACAACAATGTAGGACACTGAAAAATGTTATAATACTTAAGATTAAAAATAACGTATTTCTACCATAGCAGTCTATAAAAATAAGTTTTTATTACTCCATAGCAGTCTTATATAAATGAGCTCTAAACGAAAGTTTGGTAAAACATAAAATCGAAATATTAGTTATTCATATCGCATTAGATTATTTTAAAATTATTTATTTTAAAATTTAAATAAAACATAGCTGCTGCATGTAAGCAGCTTACAGACACAAATAAATGAAATGTGTCATAATTGCGAATAATGTAATTTATCAAAATAACAAATAGTAGCGTAATTGCTGAACTTTTATAATCCAAATCAAATTAACATTTTCAGTACGATGACCTGCGTTCTTTAGTTGAAATTTGCCAGATTTTCAACATGCAAAGTCACGCTTCTCTAGGTAACGTAAAAGTTAGATTAAACCTTAACAGAATGAGGACATTTGTTTGAAATTCACATGTTTATTAATATTCACTACATGTGCAGTTGTCAAGCATTTCAATATTCGAAAGCTAGTATCCATATTTTCTGCTATCGATAACTTGGTAAAATTGCTAATTAAAATGGGTTTACTAGTAATTACTGGTAGTGTGTTCCCAAACTAATCACTGAAAATATAAAGGTATATAACTAAAAAAGTGACGTTTTATTCAAAACATATTAGGCATTACAAGAAAAATTAAAATTAACTTTATTCGTAACATAAATATAAAAACATTATTCAAAACAGTTTGCAATTATAAAAATATATATTTCCTATAATATTGTATATTTAAGAAAATACTGAGAAAATAAAGTCTTACGAGGAACATACTCGTAATTTTCAAACTCTGTCGTCCTAATTGACATTTGATTTTTGCACAAAGTAAGTTATCTACTGAGACACTCTTTCAAATTTTACATTCTGTGTTTGGGTCATTAAGAAATCCAAAACTTTTTGGATATATTTTTGCCTTACTTTTTAATTTTTTTCTAAAAATATTTCAGTTTTTTAACGTACTTGCGTTTTATTTTTATTTTTGTTAAGTTTTTATTTTTTAATTTATGTTAAGATTTTTATTATGTTACTTTTCATCAAAATTCATAGAATACTTCGCTTTCAACCGTTATTAGAAACTGAAATTTTTCTTTCATTGATAAAGTAGCTATATAGGTAAAATTAATTGTGATTGCCGTTAAGGCTGAATTCTACGACGGGGTATTTTGAGACATCTCGAGATTCGCTCGACATTTTCAGATTGAGTGTAAATATTCAATTTTGCTCAAAATGTCAAGTGGAACGAAATGTGAATTCAGTACTCTTTAATTATTCATATTTTAATGATCGAAATCCATCTTTCAAGGGTCAATAATTTAAAGCATTGAAACCTAAACAGTTAAGAAGTACTGAATTCACATTTCGTTCCTTCTTGCTGACACGTTTTTCTCACAATCTTCTACCTAATCTTTAGGCGACCGACTGGTAAAGCCGCTAAACACTAGTAGTTCGACCTTAGTTTCGATTTTAGAGAAAGCGCCTGGCTTCATTGGGCGTTTTCTTCTCTTTCCCTAATTTACGTGATTAAGAGCCAGTTCCTTCTAGAAAGTCCTCCACGGAGGCATCCGTTCCCTTAGGCAAATAGCCCTAAGGGAACGTGATTTGCCATAATCAAATAAATCAAACCTGCTTTCCTTTAGAAAAAGTCTAATGAGAAGCCTACACCTAGAATCAGTATATCCCAATATATCTAATGAATTCTTTTTTTTATTACAGAATCAAATTTTATTCTACTTGTTTGATATTTCCAAATAAGAAATGTAATTAGAGCAACAATTATGCATTTTCATGCATTACAAAATACGCCAAGATATCTAATACAGTTCATAAATGCAGATACCTCTTATTAAAAAATGTACATTTAATGAACAAAGGAAAAAAAATCTAAAGAAAAGATACGGCGTAAATACATTAGGTATAAATTAATATAGATATAATAATATGTTTTTATTTCTTTCATATTTTCTTTTATTTATTTCATCTGAATATCTTTGTAGATTACTATTACATATTAAAGCAAATTAACGCTGGAATATGCAGCATCTTAGTTAGAAACACGAAAAACAGGCAGTAGTTCGTCTGCAATTCCTTACAATCCGTTCAAAATGTTTTATGATATATTTTTTTAAAATTTAACTTATGCTATTAATTAAATGCAAAGTTAATTTAAAAATGCAAATAGTCACAGCAGAATATCAGTAAATCTTAGAACTGTAATGGTGGCTGAGAAGCTACCATGCTGAAGCTGAATTTCGCTGCCCCAAGGCTGCTGGATGTTTTGCTCATATAACAATCCCAGTTAGACTTCCTCCAATAAAATCTGATAAGACCGTCCGTCCAGACGAACAGCAATATGAGATATGGAACAATGCCAGTCCAAACATTAACAGGAAACCGGTGTTGTGCTGCACGTGCTCGTGTACTCCTGGGTTAACTCATCATATATGTGTGTTATCTACGTTGTAGCAGCTTTCTCTGTTAAACCATGACTCTTTGATGAACAGGATAGGAGCCGGAAAATTGAGTTTCCTCGCACACTCCGGCTTGTATTATTCAGCAAATGAAATTCGCGCTGAGTAAATCAGTAGGAATTAGATACTATGCACATTGCTCATGCTATCGGTATAAGTGCTTCCGGCGCAGCTTCTACAGATGACGGTTTGGGAAACAGCGAGATTTGCAGTGATCACTTGTGTGCTGACGTGTAGATATTTTTTTGCATAATGTTGCACCATCTCTCGTACTTCCAAGTACCCGGGTCGTTCTTTCCCGATTTCTTTGACTTATGCCTAAAGATCCTGTATCTCACAAAGTTTAATGTAGCTGTGAATACATGTAGTGGGGGAGTTGAAGATGCTAAATAACAATTCCAACGTTGTTTTCCACACCACAGAACATTTAATAAAGATAATCAGAAAAGGTACAAATTAGATTAAATACAAGTGCCGTTTGATACAAACAGGATTCTGTATAGTTTTACCAGTCTTACCACATAACCAATTAGTGCCTACTCGCACTTGCTAATGTTATAAAGTCAATTTACCACCTTCGCGTGGAAAACTACAGTTCCTTATTCTACACCTTCACGTGCAGACATACATCTCACCACCTTCGCGTGGGATAGCAGAAGAAGGTCTCTGTCATACTCCTCTCTTTCACCTCGCTCTCGCTGCTAGCGCATCGGTGAGGCCCTCTGGTAGTTGTGTCGCACTTACAGATACTACAGTTCGGCCGTCCTGACACTTTTTCGACCACGAAAACACGGATCAGCAACACTGGAACATCAAGACAGCACCTGAAAATAAATTAAAAAAAAAAAAAAAAAAAGAAAGAAAAGGAGAAAAAAAAAAAAGAAAGAAAGAAGTGTGGAAGAACCACACATAGTCCTATATAGTAGAAGTCCACAGCTTCATGAGATCAGCTGCTGTAGTGGTACATCCAGGACCTTCATGGTGTCCCACTTTTTCCACCTGGTAGCGATCTTTGCCTTTCCTCGCTGTTACACGATATGGGCCGAAGAACTTTGGCCTTAACTTTAGTCCACCTCCATATTGCGTTCTTTGTATGGCAACTAAGTCGTTCACATTGTATACTTGTGCCTCTTTTCTCTTCTTGTTTTGTACGTTTTTCTATTCTCTTCCTGAATTTTTAGAATGTTTTTCCTTGCTTCCTCTCTCATATCTTCTCGATCTTTCATCATAGTATTTCTTTCTTCTTCTTCAAGAATTTCCATAATCTTTAAGTCCTCTCGATTTCTCATTTTAACACCAGTGAGAAGCTCAAATGGAGAACTCTTTGTGCTTCTGCTCTTAGTGCTGTTCAAGATCCTTTGTACATCTCCAACATATTTGTACCACTTGGTTGGATCATCTATGGATAATTTAGATAGGACTGGAATCAGAGTGAGATGAATTCTTTCCACTTGTCCACTTCCTCTAGGAACGCCTGTAGTTGTAAATATGTGCTGGATATTCTCTTGACTACAGTAATCTTCAAAGTCTTTAGAGGTAAACGCCGTACCTTTATCACTTATAATTCTCAAAGGACTACCGAAAGTTGATTGTTGTAGTTTCAGCTTCTGCAATGCCTCTTGAGCTGATGTAGACTTTACTGGATAGAGCCACACGAACTTTGTGAATGCATCAACCACGGTTAAGATGTGATGGTAGTTCTTATTTGTCGACGGTAATGGTCCTATAAAATCGATATGAAAAGTGCTCAAAGGGATACTATCTTTTGGTATGGGATTCAGCAACCCTTTGCTCTTACCTCGTTTTCTGTCGCACAAAATACATTCTACACAATTTGAAATAACTTGCTTAATTCGTTTTCTAAGGTTAGGAATATATATGCTAAAAAAGTCGTTTTTTAGCAGATCTTCTGTTTTAGACACTGCGAAATGTCCCTTGTTGTGGATACTACGTATGATTTCTAACTCTAATGCTTCGGGTACCACAATTAACTCACGACCACTGTCGAACTTGTA